TTGACGAAACATAATTCTTCTCAACCAAGTGCTAGTTGTAGAGACAATTCTTCGCATTTTATAGATGAGTTTGATTTGCTGTCACTTAAACCGAATCCGAGAGAAAGAATATCCATTGAGGCCTAAGTAGGGAACACCAACAACTCAAAGCACCTCATCAACATCCCTCAAGGTCTTTTCAACAATTTTGAAAAGGAAGCAACACCAACAAGAAAAATACATTATGCATTGCCAAAAGCAAATGTTTGTTTGTGAAAATCGCATAGCAATTTTAAAAAGGATCTCTATTAAAATAAGAAGATAGTCGGAATTCTGAGGCTATTAATGGATTGGGGTGTATTTTCTTTCTCCATGCTGCGAAAGACTCTGCATAATTACCAGCAGTACAAAATGCAAATAGCTATTCAAATAATCTCTATAAACTGTAGCATTTACAGGTATAAAATAAAACTAATGCTAAACTGCAGTAACAGAACAACTCAATTTCAAGTCCATAAACCAAGGTACTTCAATCACAACAACGCATCAACATATACTAAAAGTCAACCAAGATTAACCAAATTGGTTAACCCCTAAAATGGGTGTTCACTGAAGAAGGCTTCCCATGGTTTCCCCTCATCCTCACAAACAATTAAAGAACCAATCTTTCCCAATTCATAAGAAAGAAAACTGAACAAAGGCGAAGAATGTAAACACACCTCAGCTTTACCAGGGATAGTGCAGTGCCAAATCATCAAGTTCACTGACCCATCTGGAAGTGTCTCCGGCTTAGCAACAAAACCCTATACCCAAAATTCATCACAACAAACAAAACACAAAAACCAAAATTACAAAATCAGAAACTATAAAACTGAAGAAAATCAAGAAAAGGGTCATGAAATCAAACATGGGGGTGATTCTTTCTCCAAGCTTTGCGCTCCTCAGCAAGACGACCACGAGCAATCCCTCCCGACATTGTTGTTGTTCAAGGTTAATAACTAAATGAACAGTGAACAATCTCTCAGAAGAGTTGTGTTTCTTCTTGGCTGCCCACCCCCCCCTTTTAAAAGGACAAAAAAAAAAAGGGAGAAGTGAAACGAGTCTTGAACCTGTAAAGTAGTTGTGAGTGGCAGATTCAACGGTGGAGATTAATGGTGACAGAATTACCTAAATAGGATTAAGAAGATAATGAAACTGCTGTCTTTGTATTTTTATTTTTTTTGTTAGGTCGGGTCTCTTTTTATTAAATGGGTTTTGATAAAAGTCAAATGGATTCCGATTTTATTTGGAAAAAAAAAGATTTCAATAAAATATTCTATTTCTAGCGTGAAAACCACGCCACTATGTACGATCACGTGGAAAACGTCAATGGTCGTGCTTTCGTTAGTCGCCACTGCTTACAGGGGCCTATGGGCCATTGTCACTTTTTTTCCCACGGTATTCATCGTGGAATTCGATTAAATTTAGATTCACGCAAAAAAGTCAAGTAATATTCACTTTTTTTGGGGTTTTCCACTGTATTTATAATTTATATTAGAGTCTGACTAAATTTGAATTCGCGTAAAAAAGTCAAGCAATACTCACTTTTTTTTATTTTCAATTGTATCCACATTAGAGTCCGACTAAATTTGGATTCGAACAGAAAAGTTAGCAGTACTCACTTTCTTTTTGGTTTTCCACGGTTATCCACATTGGAGTCCGACTAAATTTAGATTCACGCAAAAAAAATCAAAAGTAATAATTATCACTCCACCACAACACTTGTTGGTGGTCATTGTCACTTTTGTGCCCTTATTTTTATTTTTTACGCTATAAGGAGTATAGGATAAATATTTTTTCGAAGCATAAATTTATATTTTGAGAAAAAATTTGCTATATTCTTTAATTTTGTTATTTAAAGTCGATATACAACTAATTATAAAAGTGATCTAGATATATCTCTATCGTTAGGAAAGCGATTCACATATATCTCTAATGTTACAAAAATGGATCTCATATATCATTCTCATCTAATTGAAGTAAAAAAATAATTTTGATTTAAAAAAAAAAAAAAAAAACTGTAGTATATGATCTTTCTCTCTCACTTTTTTTTTTTACTTTTTTAATATCATTATTTGAGTTTCTTATTTTTATTTGATTTTTTTCTTTTATTCTTTACTATAAACATGTGAGAAATTATAAAAAAAACTATGTGAGTGAAAAAAGAGAAAAAAATTAAAACAATTTTACGATTATATTGTAATTTATTTTTTGTATTTGTAAGAAAAATGGGTCATTTATTATAATTTTATAAGAAAGTTAGTGAAAAAATAAATTTGACCATCAAAATAATAAATTTA